TATAAACAATGCTCTGATACCAATCTGTCACACCCCAAACCAGAATGGCGGAAACATTCGGGGGTGGATGACTTCACGTAGTATCACAACAATTGAATATTGTAAAGAAAGTAACACAACCATCATATATATAAAATGAAAACGTATATTGTTGCGTTATACATGTTATCAAAAGAATATTACAATATGATGATAAATGTTTAATGATAAAAACATCCTTTGTGTTCCTTCTCCAAAAGCTGGTAGTTTACCTGTATCACTGATTCCCTGAGAAATACAAGTGGTTTTGAAAAGTGTCAACAATTAAGTTGGTGAGTTCATGAGTGTTTTGAGTTGAAAAGTATATCCCTTTTGGTAGTAAATTGGTAAACGAGGTTTTTAGAAAATCCAATATTTTCTTGTAAAATGAAAAAGTTTCCAAAGTTGGAATGTGTTAGTAACTTTATAATCAAATGATAACAATAATTTGTATGAAAATATAATGTAGGAAAACTGCGATGCACATATGAATCTCGTAAATCAATCTTGTTTTATACTTTTTATGTGAGTTTTATAACCATACTAATGACACTGACGGCCTGTAACAACATTCTTCAAGTGTTGCAGTGTTATGACTTTGTCACCCCAGACCTGCCGGTCTAACTATAGCTAGTAGTTTAGGTGCGGGATTGTCAATCCCGTATAGATCTATACACAAATATCACGCTCTCCCTCCAAGAGATTATGGTATATAATACAGGACTTGAAATGCATACAAAAATGTACGTTGAAGTTTAAATATCTCACATTACCTAGTATAAGTAGATTTACAATGAAATGACCTTACTTCTTTTGAAAGTGTTTCGTTTTTCAAATTGTATAAAAATGTAGGATTGACTTGCTAACTATACCCATTATAGTTTTTCAGATAGTATGTTCCATTTAGTAGAAATAACTTAGTGATATAATCGCCCTTGTATACATAAGATGTTTGTATCGATATTCGAAGTTAGAAATTGCATTTATGTTTATAAAACGATACTTTTAACGTGTAATGTACTTGTATTTCCCCCCTAAAACATGAAAAAGAATTGAAAAGTAGGGGTATGAACTCACTCGTTAAGTTTGAAGAGGAAGACTAGAGTTAAGTAGAACTTCGATCGCGGATACTTGCGTCGTCGGGCTCTTCGGGGATCGCTGCAACGTAGATCTTTCGTCGGGGGCTCGAGTGCGGAAACCGAGGTGATGGACTGGTCTCTGGAGCTTTAGAAGAGTGTGAGAGTATCTGGAGGTTTGAGAATGTGTGCTTAAATTCGCAGCTGAACCTTTCTATTTATAGGCTGAAATTGCCTCGTACGCGGGCGTAACTTTGGAGTACGCGGGGCGTACTCACGTACGCAGCGCGTACGTCGTTACGCTGGGCGTAAAAATGCGTCATGGCTTACGGCTCCTGGCTAGCTAGGCGTAGCTTGGGCGGGCCGATGGGACTCGACTCTGGGTCTAGTACGCGGGGCGTACTCCCAGAGTACGCGGGGCGTAATCCCTGCTTCCAACTTCTAAATTCCGTAACTTTCGCGTACGAGCTCCGTTTTTCGCGTTCTTTATATCCACGCGTAGGTGAGATTATGCTCTACAACTTTCATTTAGACTCCGTCGGCTAGTTTTGACTTTATTTTTAATGATATAATTTTAATAGGTCGGGCCTCCTAAAGTTCGTTAAAATTTCATAGGTTCTTTATTCGACGTCGGTTTTCGTTTGTCTTTTGATTGTTTTATTACCACCGAGGAGATCTTCAACTTCCGTTTAGGTGGCGATAGCTAAATAACACTCGATCTTCAATCCGAGTTTTTAGCCCTCTACTACTGTTACGAAACTTTGAAAATTCGTAACTTCTTCATACGAGGTCCAATTTGGGCGATCTTTTTATGCACGCTCATCTTTCAACGAGATCTACGACTTTTGTTTAGATACTTTAAGGCTAAAATGTATTTTATTGAGATTCCACTTTTTACGTCAAATAATGTTTTAACGTCGTGTCGTAATTATACGAGTGGTTATAATTTCTTCAATATAACTCGGTTTTGAGCGTTTTTTTATGTTTTTGGAAACCTGGGCATGATATCTAATATTCGATGCATCCCAACTTAGATACCTGAACACTTTATTTTCGAGGTTAATTTCGTTGTTTTTAGCTTTCGAGTGTTTACAATGCTTTTGGGAAAAATAGGGTTGTCACACTTTTATAGCTTTAAGTTCATTTAACTTTTTTGGGAAAATGACTTAGAGGGTAACCAATTATTAAGTTTGTTCATATTTGGTCTCTTTCCTTTTTTTGTACTCAATATATCATCGAACTTGTTGTTTGTGTTCACCATAACCCTTATGACCGACTATCACAAGTGATAGTCGATCAAAAGGGTTATGGTGAACATAAGTAATAAGTTCGATGGTATATTGGTTATAAAAAAAATGACCAAATGTGAACAAAATCAATAGTTGGTTACTCTTCTAAATCATTATCCCTATGTATACTCCATTATATTTATATTTAATGTAATAAATGATGAAGTCAAAGTGGGTGTTTGGGTTACCTTTTTTACTTCAAAAGTCCTTATTGACTTATTATTTTTGCCAAAAGAAGTTTTAAAAATATGTTTGTAATAGTTTTTAGCTTTTTACCTTTTAAAACCCAAAAAAAAACCCCAAAAGTAAGTAAAGATAACATTTTGTGACTTTAAAAGGGATATTTTCTTCTTACCCAAAAATTATTCTAAAAGAGAGTTTCAAACGTCTTATTAAATTTTTTGACTTAAAAAAAAAAAAAAAAAAGATAAAAAATCATTTTAAAAGCAAACTCAACACCCTCAAATTAACTAAAAAAGAAGCATGGTTTTGAAGTCAAATTAAATAAAAAGGAGGCATGTTGATTCGAACCGGTGAGCCTTCAAAACCAAACTCCTAAACCTATTCTCTTCCTCCCTATTCTCTTAACTCTCGAAGATCCATCACTTCACCACTTCTGGACAACTACCACCGATCTCCACTAACCTTAAAGAAACCATTTAAATCTCGGGCAATCCCCTCTTTGTCTCCGTCATCATAAAAAAGCTTCCTCGTTCTTTGGATTTGTCACATGGGGCGTTCTTGATGTCACCGTTCTTTGAATCACATTACAGAGGATGACCGTCGACAAAGACGATTTGGGGATCTGAACCTACTTCTTCGATTTGCATATCCCTCTTCTTTGATTTACAGGTTTAGGGTTAAGTTATGTTTTATTTGCAGGTTTAAGGTTCAACTTTTAAGGTTTGAATGATGACCGGGGTGGTTGCAGGAGTTGTTGGGGTGACAGGGGGAGGTGTCGGACTTTAGAAATAAGATACAAGAGAGAGAGAGAGAGAGAGAGAGAGAGAGAGAGATTACCAATCGAAAACCGAACCAAAGGAGATGACGACTGTAATCGGAATGAACGTTGATTCTCGATGGTGACGTGGATCTGGTGGAAGACAAGAAACCAGACATGGAAAAAGTAAAAGCAGAGGAAAACGATGATTGTGAATGTCTGAATGAACAAACCAACTGAACGGATGCTTCACCGGATTTGTTTCTCTCCGACAACATCATTAAATTTGTAGATTCAACGAAGAAGAAAAGTAAACATGGGAAAGGAAAGAAAAGGGGGAGATATTTTTTATTTTATTTTTATTATTTTAATTTAAAATTTTTTAAAAAATAAAAGAAAATTGAAAAAGAAATTAGCTGCCATGTCAGCCAAGCACGCCAATTGGCATGCAACCTAGATGACAATAGTTTTTTATCTTTTTAATTTATGACTAGATCGTAAATATGCCTAAGAGACTTTTCTATAGATTTCTTTAGAATTAATCATCTGAAAACATGTAGCTTAAAGGGAAAGAAATCGGAAAAGAAATTTCCTTAACAAGGGTTCCAGACAAGCTTTCGCGCACAGACTAATCATCTATTGTATACATGCAGCTATGTCTCATGCCCTAGAGTCACTGTAGACGAACTTCCATGACCACATGGGTTAAATAGTGTCAGGATTTGAATATGGGTTAATAGATTATCCATAAATAGTTAGTTTAAAGAATTTAAGAATTCCATAACGGATTTTATAATATTGATTTTTTTTTCTTTTATTCTTGGTGATGATTTTGTGTTTGATAGTGTGGTTGTATCTTAATACCTTTTATTATGACATTTTACTTTCGAGGGATAGCATCGTCTTTGAAATTTTTGACCAGTTATTGTAATCTCAATTTCCTCTTATTAGTACATTATAATTTGAAAATTCTACCAAGTACACCACAAAAAAATGCTTTGCATGGAAGAATGGCATCTATTATCTAATAGAATTTTCAAATAATATTGTAGTATGAAAGTAAGACGCTATAATGAACAAATCAATAGAAATACATTGTTATTTCTTGCATTTGATCCAATCTGGTACTCATGTGTTTAAACCAATTGGGTTGCAGCAACCGAAAGTGAGGAAAGTGTTGAATACGGAAAGGACATACATAAACGGAAATCACGCAACTTTTTGAGTACTATAGGAGTTGGAACGGACGTTGGGGACAAACAATAAAGCAACATACCACTTCTTAAAGGGCATCATTTGTTGAAAACGAACTGGAAGTTTAGATTGATGGATTCGTTTAGAGAGGACATAAGGGCATTTTAGTAAAAAAAAAAAAAAAAAACTTGTAAAAAGTGATTTGAAGACTAGGCATCAATAGTTGTGATTATTACTCTTTTCTAATTCTAATGAACGTACATTTCTACTATGGTACCTAATAAAAAAAATATTGCTATTTCTGTTTTGGTGTTGGAGTTTATTGTATTTAAAACCAAATCAATTGAGCACCAAACTTGAATCAAATAAACGTAACATTACAGAAGTATCAAACAAAATTAAAATCTGCAAAACATACACTTCAAACAAATAATCATCATGTTAATTCATCCATAATCGCAACCATAGAAGAATTTGATGCAATATGGTCAATATATAATTTTTTTAGATTATAATGATTTTTAAATAATAGAATTGATTACAAATTTTTAAGAAATGTTTACAAAAAAGAATTGAGCAAATTTGAAAGTTAAAAATGATAAATATGATATTTAAATTTAAAGTTGAGTAAATATGAGCCACATCTTACTATTTTGCTGACATGGATAACGCTGTACATAGTAGGCAATTTGAAGCTATATTTAAAAAAAAACCCATTCAGATGGTATTTACTATTAAGTCTTTGACATCTAAGTTTACAAACACTTTACTTCCCCCCTGTGCCCACCTACTTTGCACCCGTGCTTCTTGATTAGCTGAGCCAACTGCAAAAGAATATCCTGCTTTGCTAAATATAATTCCTCTTCACTCTGCACAATCAAACATGTGTTAGCTCCAAAAAGGAAAAAACATTTTAGCTAAATTCCAAAAAGCTTAACATCTAGCATCCTACTTCTGCTTACATCTTCGATTTTCTTATTAAGATATTGTGTACTTTAGAAATTCTACCATCTTATAACATTCTCCTTTCAAAGTACAATGCCATAATAAAAACAATGAAAGTAAATGCTATACCATCCAATTTCAATAAAAATACATTTGCGAGATGAAACACAATTATATGAAAGTTGATTGTTATTTCTTTCATTTAACTATTCATAAAATGTGCACATACTATTATTTGGTGAGGCAAGTTAATGGTTTGAAATGTTTGAGGAAGTAGTAAACATATATACATACCGCCTGTTTTAGATAACATCCAATAGTAAGCTCAAAATAATTTCCCAATGAAACTTCACAATACGGCTGCTGTTCCTCCAAGTAAACATTTGGATTAGATCTCATCATGTTCGGTATTTCATCCGTTATCTTGTGCACCTTCTCCAACTCATCCTTTTCCACATAAATCTTTGAAACCATCGCATGCCATGGAGGCATGGGTTTGTGCACAAATACCTATAAAATTTAAAATTACTTTTCTCATTACATAAAAACTTTCACGGGTACTCATGAAAAGACTCGATGCTCACCTCACCACAAAGCATGGAATATGGAACTATTGTGCTTTGCCGTGATTCGTTCATAATAACCTATAAAAAACACTTTATTATAACAATATATATATATATATATATATATATATATATATATATATATATATATATATATATATATATTATGCAAGGCAGATAAAGTTACGTACCTTGTGTAGCAGAAATAAAATGCATAGCGGCCTCCCAGGCTTTAGGCAAAGCGAAACCAATAATAGCAACAAGGCCATACAAGCCATAAGGTGGTTGAGATGTTGAATCGGTTACATCTTTACGTGCATATGATGATGATGATGATGATGATGATGATGATGATGATGATGAATACACACGATGTTTCAACATGTGATTGGTTGCAACAGGAGAAGAAATTCTTAAGTTTGAATTTGATAAATGACATGGGATTAAGTCCATCTTATTGTTTGGTTTTGTACCAAAATGGATCTTATTATTTTCACCTGTACAAGGATTATACACCCTACACCAAGGTTTTGATATCACCAAGCTTATTCCACTCATTATTCAATCTTCTACCTATATCTATATCAATCAATAACATCAACAAAAACCATTATAAAACATATTAATAACAACATTCATATAAACTAACTACATTCTTCAAGTCTGTCAAACTAATACAAGATTACTTAAATTCTCAATCTATAATATGCTATGCATTGCAAATTGCAATCATTAACACAATAAATAATTCAATTGTAACAGAAATCAAAACTCTAGCATTCTGCTTTCAAACAGCTATATACCAACAACAAACAAGCTAATAACTAAATACCCAGGTATTTGAAACGTTAAACTTGATTAAAATAACATAAATAGCCAAATAAAATGTTAGTATGCATCATGACATATACCTACCTACCTACCCTATGCAGATTTAAATCAAACCACAGAAACATTAAAATATTTACAATTACATTTTGTTCCTTCACCAGAAAAGATACATTTCGGTTATATGAATTTACAGGGTTTTTGGCTAAGCTTATTAAAAGTGATTTTAACTTTTTAACTTATATATATATATATATATATATATATATATATATATATATATATATATATATATATATATATATATATATATATATATATATTTAAAACAGAGTTTTTTTAAAAATGTGTTTGGCTAAGCTTATACCGTGTCAAAACGCTATCAGCTGATAAGCCATTTTTAGTGTTCCGCAAAAAAAACTGCTTATATGTGTAAATTTACCAAAAAGGGCTTCCTTTTATATTATGACTTATTTTTCTTATTATAACTAACATTTTTTTTTAAACTAATAACAATTGTTTAGGCTTAAGCTTCTTTTTCGATATACCACCATCAACAAGATTATCATGGTTGGTGTATCACATAAGCATCTTAAGATCATCATTCAAAACAATGTCTACGTTCCGGTTATGAACACAATCTGTATGTCCCTGTTAACAGTAGCAATTGCAGTTTCACATATACACATAACCTATTGCAGTTTCACATATACATCTACAGGATTGAAGAAAACCGAAAGAAGGAAAGGATTGAAGAAAAGCACACAGATTTCGATTACAACAACTAATATGATTTCCTTTTCAACTGAAATCAGGGGAAAAAGTAAAACCTAGAGCAGCCAAAATGCAAATGCAATTGAACGAAAGCAGGAAAAGATTGAAGAATATCGAACCTGAAGCGAATCTGTGAGTGCGACGCCGATGGAAATCGTAGTAATACGGCGGCAAGCAATCGGGAATCGCTTGAGGAGCGGACTATAGAAGAATGGAGGCGTGCTGTGTGTTTCTTTTGGTCTGTGTCGCAATATATCAACCAAACCTTTTTATTAGGTGGAGGGGTATATTGGTCAAACTTTTGTTTATATCATTTATTTAAACTTTGAATCCAATAAGTTAATGGTTTTATTATATTTGATGGATAAGTAATTTAAATTTATCTATAATTAGGTCAGTATTCGAAGGTTGCATAGAAAACAACTATAAATTTTTAGATATATGTTAAGTTATTTATAAAAATGGTGTTTTGAAGTTTTATTCTTGTAATAATTTAGAATAAAATATTGATTATTTTGAATTATATAAAAGTAGGTTAAAATATGGATGAAAAAATATTGTGTGGATGTAAGGATTAATATGTGTCAAGTATTATTTAGAAAAAAAATAAAACATTAATTAATCAAATAAGGGTATTTTGGTAAATGACTTATAAATCAATCAATTAAATTTAAAATTGAAGCCTATAATCTTGGTAACTGCATTTTAGATTGATATTATATTTATGTTAATATCTTTTTCAACCCTACGTTAACATAGGAATGCCTTCCCGCTTTATTTTTCTTCTCCACTTCTTATCTTCGTCATTTCACAAGGGAGTATCACCATCGACGATCCCCTTCCAGTGAAACATAAACACAACACTGAAACCGACAGTACATCAAACCATCTTGAAGCCATCATGTTTGAAATTCCATGAATCAGAGCCCTCGTTGTTCAAATATTTGTTTCATCACCACCACCATCATCAGAAATCATGTTTCATCACTTCTAGAAACCATGTCGTCCACTGCTGGAAGATCTATCTGGATTTGTCTCTGAAACTAATGTGAGCCATCATTCCCGTCGTTTTCATCTAGGCTAATCAGATCCCTCCCCCTCCCTTATGTGTGAACTACAGTGGAATTCAACGGTGACGAATCGACTCACAGAACTTCCAAATTAAGGTATATAATTGATTCTTGTTATTCATTTAAGTTCGATTCTTGTTATTTACCAAATCAATTTTGTGTTGGATTTCCTCTTTTCTTGTTGTTTATCATGTTACGCTTTTATTCTTGTTCATTACATACTTATCATTCGTGGGTCTCATAAATTATATCTAATGGATATATTTAGGGTTGTGCATGGGTCGGTTTGGGTCGGTTTTGGACCCAAACCCAACCCAACCCATAAGTGGTCGGTTTCTGGTTTTCAGAACCCAATAGGATCGGTTTCTGGTCGGTTCAGTTTCTCGGGTTCTCAGGTCGATTTGGGAGGTTTTTCCGTTTCTTGGGTTCAACCCATACATTCACGGGTTATGGGTTTAAACCCATGGGTTTTGGGTTTCAACCTGTTTTCCATAAATGAAGCAACAAGTTAGATACTTCAAAAAAAAAAAATTTAAGTTAAATACTTCAAAAAACATGAGTCTTACAACAAATAGTCTATTACAAATTACAACCAAAGCCCGAAATAGTCTATTACAACCGAAAAACAATCAAGTATGGGTCGGTTTCAAGGGTTGGATGGGTCGGTTTCTTGGGGCGGTTTGTCGGTTTTAAGTATGGGTCGGTTTCTCGGGTTGGATGGGTCGGTTTCTGAGTAAAAACCGAAACCAAACCCGATTTTTCGGTTTTTAAAAAATCCAAACCCTAATCGTCGGTTTTGCTTCGGTTTCGGTTTTTTCGGTTTCGGTTTCGTCGGTTTTAGTTGGTTTCTTGGTTTGGGTTTGCTCACCCCTAGTTATATTATTGCGTATGATTTTGTTACTGGATCTTTTAGGTTCAAAATGATTGGGCATCCCTTGCTTCAAATGTTCTTCTTGGAATTTGAATGATTGAAAGACAAATCACATTCTTCATCATCAGATTAGGTTGTCAGAATTTTACTGTAACACCGTGAATTTCAAAATAATTTTTCGCATAATATAAAAACATATTCATTTAATTTTCATAAAAGATCAATGTTTGAAACACCAATCCATGACATATAAATAATCCCAAGATCATATAACATGAAAATCTCTTTTGTGTACTAATCAAGTCGGCGCCTTCCCACGGTCATCACTAGTACCTGAAACAAATAACACCAAACACTGTAAGCACAAAGCTTAGTGAGTTTCCCAAAATACCATACATAACACATATTAGCCACTCGAGGCTATAACTCTATGGGTCCGTGCACCCAAACTCCGCGAACCCTCAGGTTCTACTCTGACAACGTACATGGCATAAATCACATAGAAATAATGCAGTGCAACACATAACATACATAGTATACAAATACTCTATCACATAACTTTGGTTACCTACTCAAGGTATTTGAATGATTGAAAGACAAATCACATTCTTCATCATCATAGGTTATCAGAATTTTACGGTAACACCGTGAATTTCAAAATAATTTTTCGCATAATATAAAAACATATTCATTTAATTTTCATAAAACATCAATGTTTCAAACACCAATCCATGACATATAAATAATCCCAAGATCATATAACATGAAAATCTCTTTTGTGTACTAATCAAGTCGGCGCCTTCCCACGGTCATCACTAGTACCTGAAACAAATAACACCAAACACTGTAAGCACAAAGCTTAGTGAGTTTCCCAAAATACCATACATAACACATATTAGCCACTCGAGGCTATAACTGTGTAGGTCCGTGCACCCAAACTCTGCGAACCCTCAGGTTCTACTCTGACAACATGCATGGCATAAATCACATAGAAATAATGCAATGCAACACATAACATACATAGTATACAAATACTCTATCACATAACTCTGGTTACCTACTCAGGGTAAAGTATAGCGAGAAGACTCACCTCGCGTATCTCGGTAACTCGCAAATCCCTGAAATCACTCGTGCTCGATCCCTCGATCTATATTCCTCCTATAACACAATAAATCTCTAAATAACACTTCACAACTAAGGTTGACAAACTCTTATCAAGTCAACACAGGACAACACTGTTCAATGGTCAACGGTCAACTTTGACCGGACTCGGCGAGTGCACTATAGCGACTCGGCGAGTCTACACGCATCCACTGATTCCCTGGGATCCTCACTCGACACGTCGAGTATTTTCCTAACTCAACGAGTTCCACCTGGCATGAGTTGCGGGGCCACCACGACTCAACTCGCCGAGTCTCAAGAACAACTCGGCGAGTTCCAGCTTGACTTAGTCTACCTGTTAACCCACTCTGACTCTCCCTGACTCACTGAGTCAATCCCTTAACTCGGCAAGACCACTCGCTGAGTGGTTCTGGGCAATCTTCATGCTACTCGCTGAGTCTGTTCTTCAGACTCGGCGAATCCATGCCATGCATCAACTCAAACTCACTTCTGAGGTCAGATCTGTTCCATACAATCATAGATCTGGCCTCCCCAAGCATGATAATCACGTAAAGTTCAAACCTTGGGGCTCAAACAACAACTATTTGCTCATAAATGATGTTTTAGCCCCATATCTCATAAATCTAGGCCAATACTCTCATGAACCCTCATAAAGCTTAAGGAATACAGCTCTTCTGGACCTCTATGGATCTCATCTCAAGCCTCATCACAATTAGGGACGAAATGGACATCAAATCTAACCAACAAAGGGGTCAAGAAACCCTAAACCCCCATGTTCATCATAATAACAGAGAAGGAAGCCAAGATATACCTCCAAGGTGATGCTCTGAGCTCCAAAATCGAAGGATGTCCACTTCACTTGCCTCCTCTTAGCTGGAAACTCCTTAGCCTTGCCAAACCAAGCTTCAAATGTCAACAATGGCCTCTTATCTCTCCCAAACGCTCAAATCTCTTTAGGGTCTCTCTCTAGGGGTTGGTGGCCGCAAATGACGGCCATAAACCCCTTTAAATAGGTCTCAAACCCTAGAAATTAGGGTTTCATTAAACAGCGTGGACTCGCCGAGTCCGGACGCGAACCCGCATCCATATCCGCGATCATACTCGGCGAGTTTGGGCTCCAACTCGCCGAGTCTCCTCACAAAATACCAAAAGAACATAATTAATTAATACCTGGGAATCCGTCCTGTTACATTTACACATAAATTGTAGTGTTTTTCAACTGTCACTTATGCTCAGGTGCATGAATTTATTTTCAAAATTTTTGTTTTTATCCATTGTTCAGTTGTTCACTTAAGATTTTTGGTATTAAATCCGTTTTATTGTGGGTTATGTGTTTAGTTAGTTAACAATTTTAGTAGATTAATTGATCAAGTTGTAGCTTACATGGTTTATATAGCGATTTGTGAATATTGATTTATGATATTAACGTGATGAATGGAACATGCAGTGGTGAAGAACTTGGAAGATGCACATGAACAGATTGAGAATGCAATAACTTACACATGGAATTCATGATTCAAACATATCTTGGAGATACATACTCTTTTAAACATATATGTTTGTGCAAGAAAATTTTATAATTGAAGTGGTAGAACTACGTGTGATAGATTTAAATGAAACGGTGTCTGAACCATTTGAACGGTGTCTGGACCAGTCAATCGATTCAGGTTAGTCATATTCCATTTGATTAAATTATGTTCATAATTGTTGTACTTTATTTATTTTTTGTTTTTTGTTTCATTTTTATTTTGTGTTTCAACTGAAGCGTATATACATACTCAGAATGAAATGGGTACTCTTGATGAATAAAGAAGATAATAAACAAAAGACAAAGAAGATAAAGAAGAAGGATATTTTGATACTCTTGATGAATAAAGAAGATAATCAACAAAAGATTATGGCTTTTGGTGTTACCCCCACTTGCAGCTTCATGGATCCAAAAGAAAAAAGTTAGAATTTGATTTTCTGAAAGACATTCTCACATAATGTCATTCTCACAAAATGTATTCTAATTCATTCTTAAAGAATCACTGAAGAATGTTTTTAAGATTTTCTTTTTTATGTAATACTTTTTACATGAATTCATGATTATTCTTAGAAGAATGATATTTTTTCCTTTATTGCCATTGTATTCTATTAGAATATGCATATTGAATTCTGTTAGAATAGTTATTCTCTAAGAATAGTTATTCTATGTATGTTCATTCTTGTAAGAATGTATAATCGGAAAAAGTTATGTCTACATATTCACGAGTAAATCCAGGTTGTTGTATATGTATTCTGTTAGACTATGGTTTCTTATTGTATGTTTATTCTTTAAGTTTGGTAAGTCTATTCTTGTAAGAATGCATAATCAGAAAGTTTTGTATAGTTCTTTATCAGCTTTTAACTCGATAATCTGGAGAATCAAATTCAAATCCCAAATTTATTGAAATTGGATGTGATTTTTTGGTTAGTAGCAAGAATATCTCACATGCCTTATTTGATTCTTAACCAAATTGACATAATTACCCTTAAAGTCGTTTTAAGCCTATTAATTACATAGGATAATCACTTTTTAAATTTCCAAAAATGATTGGACCACAACGGATCCTTACATCCACACAATAGTTACAATCCAGATTATAACCTAGCCCTATATATACATATATAATCTCAATCGTCTATTATTATAATTATTTAAAACATAAAAACTTATTTTGTTTTTAAATTTAACAATATAATCTTTTATATATTTTTACTTTTAGCTATTATTGTTATAAGTTTTTTGTATGAAGGAAAAGAGTTGGACGATGGAACGATGTATCGACAACTAGTAGGTAGTCTTATCTACCTAACTTTATCTCGGCCTGACATTGCTTATGCAGTTGGAGTTATGAGTCGATACATGCAAAGTCCGAAGAAACCTCATTTGGATGCTGCCCGACGGATCTTGAGATATGTCAAAAGTACAATTGACTATGGTCTCTTGTATAAAAGAGGTGAAGACTGCAAGTTGGTTGGATATTGTGATGCTGACTATGCAGGAGACCATGATACCTGAAGATCACTGGGTATGTTTTCAAGCTTGGGTCGGGACCAATATAATGGTGTAGTAAAAGACAACCCACGGTATCATTGTCAACCACGGAAGCGGAGTACAAAGCAGCGGCTGTAGCAGCTCAAGAAAGTACATGGTTGGTACTCCTAATGGAGGACTTACATCAAAAAGTTGACTATGCAGTACCACTTCACTGTGACAACCAATCTGCAATTTGGCTGGCAGAAAATCCAGTATTTCATGATAGAACAAAGCATGTGGAAGTGCATTACCACTTTATCAGAGAAAAAGTCTTGATGGAAGAAATTGAGATGCGGCAGATCAAGACCGATGACCAAATAGCAGACTTGTTCACCAAATGGCTGAGTACTGGAAAATGTGAAGGTTTTCGCTGTCAGCTTAACATGGTACGAAGAATGAGGGCTAGTGTTGAGGGGGAGTGTTAAAGATCATCACTAGCCCAATAAAACAAATATTATTTAGAAGACTTTAGCTTGTTCTAGAATGCTCTAGAAGATTCTAGAACATTATGGAAGACTATGAAAGACTCTGGAATATACCGGAAGAGTCTAGAATACTCTAGAGCGACATGGAAGACCCTGGAAGGATATGGATCATTCTAGAAGACACTGGAGCAACCTAGACCTCTCCAGAACATGGTAGAACGTTCTAGAAACATATAGAAGCATGTAGAGTATGTTAGATAGTTCTAGATTTATCTAGTATGTAGTAAGTGTATGCTAGTATCTAGAACCTTCCTAAGAGGCCTATAAATAGGTATGGAGCTCATTTGCTCCAAACCATCCAAGAAAGCCTCAAAGAAAGCAAAGTGTGTAGTAGTCTCACAAAGTGTAAGTTCTCCTTAAGTGTCTTAATAAAAGTCTTGTTGTTTCCCATATAAAAGAGTCGTGTTCAACAATCTGACCAACTAGTTCATCTTTATCATCGATCTGCAACACACAAAGACACAATTAAACCTTTAATATAGAAAACTAAGAAACATTTTACTAGTGAAAATTGTAGAAAATAGCATACCTTGATGATATGGCCTATTGGGAAATTTTCTCTTAGCATCACGCTTTTGATGTGATCGATAATCATCTTAAAAAATCCCGGAATAATGCCTAGCAAAATAAAATAAAAAATCACTTGATGCCTCTAACTCTCAACTTTTTTAAGAATATGAGATCAAGATTTTACCTTCTGCGTTCTTAAGAAGATCGATCACTGCCTGCATGTTTCCGGTACATAACAAAAGCACAAAGCCAATCCCAACCCCTGACGTCAATGGATCTTTGGCTTCAGTGGTCTCCATAGATGCGTTTTCTAGTATTTCAGTCATAGGATTGGAAGTTTTCTGAAAGTCCGTGGTGTTGTCATCATCATCTGCTGCTACATAACAGATTGAAAGATTCCGTTTGGGTAACACATGAGAAGGGATCTGTAAGGATGTTTTGCTGATGATCCTGCAGCTTCCAGGTATTCTGTAGGTATACAAATGGTCATAAGGCTTATAGCTAAGCCAAACCATCCTCTCAACACAAAATGTCTGAAAGAAAGTGATGAAAGTTTAAAATTAAATCTAAAATATGTTCTTTCTAAATTCTTTTATAAACACAACCACAAATTTATATTAGCACAGGAAATGAGAATTGATTTCAAGAAATTAACAACTAATGATGAGATATCAGATATCTAACCTATGAGTGAGAATAAATTTGATTTGTATCAAAACACTTGTTCCAGATCAGTGCAGATGTTACAATATCTGTAGTGAAACTCTAAATGTAATATATAGTTATGTACACTAAACCCTAAACACATACATAGACATTGGCCTACGAATTCTAATGAATTTTAATGAACAGAACAAGTAAAAAATGATCTCTGTACTCTAAACCCTAAACTTACACTCTATAGCAGCCAACAGAATGAAGGAAAATGAAATGGATCTTCAACAAACAAAACTTGTAAGCCTAAAAGTCAACTCATTGTTGAGAACATCATTCACAGACTAATAACCAAATCATATTTGCCATTTCACATCGCTGATATAACAAAAACGCTGCAACGTCACAATTTCATACCTGTTCAACACACTGCAGAGATGATCGCGCCTTGGTCAGTATATGTTCTCACTTCTCAGTTTACTTTTCCATCGGAATCCAAACAAAAAATGCGTCGAAGAAGAAGAAGAAAAAGAGAAGAGAAAAAAGGGTTTGTATCGGATGGAGAGAAAAAGGGTTGGTACGGATGGAGGAAGACAGGGTTTAGGCGGGTGGATTCATATATGGTGCGTAACCGTTTTTTTTTTTTTTTAAAAGTTTCTTTTTTCAACTTATATGTATAATCGGTATAGCAAGTAAAAAATGATTGATTTAAAAAAAAAGTGAGAGAGAAAAATATATTAATTTAATTTTAAAAGCTTTGATTTCCTAAGTGATAAAAATAATTTTCGTATTTTTATGTTTTTTTAAATAAAAAAACACAAGTAAATGCATATTGAAAACTAAAGGTAAAACTGACATTAAATAATTTTTTATCAATTAAGCATATAATATTGAAACTATTAGACATCTATTATACCCATTACTAATAATTATAATGGTCTTATCATTACACAAACACTCAAATAATGATATACTCATCTCTATATTCCTTTTATTTTTTATTTTTAAATAAAATATATACATTTTTTTTATTGTAGAGAGAGTTAGACAAAGATAGAGAGAGAAAGAAGTTTATTAGATGTCATGGGTGGAGTTTGAACAATTAATTTGGATGATCGAAAGTATTATAAATTAAAATAAATGTTCTTATACAAAAAAAAAAAAAATTGCACGTAAACACAAAAAATAATTAGAAAAAGAATTACAACTCAAGCGAACGACCTTTAAGACCTTTAAATTCATCAATTACCGACTTCTAATCAATCACAATAAAATATGTAACCTTTAGCGACGACAAAAAAACATCGCAATTGATGCCCCTTGTCGTCGTTAATACCTTTAGTGAAAACATGTCATCGCTATTACCTCGTAACTAATACTCATTTGTCGTAGCAAATAGCATCGTCTCTAATACTCGTCGTCGCTAAATGTCTCTGTCGTCTTTATTGATATTCCGACCACCCGTCGGAGTTTTTCCGGCTACTCTTCCCGAAATTAGTTGTCGTCGCAATTGGTCAATGTCGTCCCTAAAAGTGTCGCTGCTAATGGTTTTTTTTTTTTGAAAAAACATATTATTTATGATATTAATTTGTATATATTATAAAATGTAGATTTGATAAAAATACATAAATAGATACATACCACATTACATAAAGGGATAATATCATAAAAACCCTTAAGTTTTTTAGAAATTTGCGGTATTACCCTTTGACAGCATTTTGGTTCATTTATACCGTAAACTTGCAATTTTTTTTGTTTTTCAGAAATTTGCGGTATTACCCTTTGACAGCATTTTGGTTCATTTATACCGCAAACTTGCAATTTTTTTTCGGTTTTACCCTTTTAACAGGTTCAGCCGGTTACTTACATGGGTGGCGAGCCACGTGTGCGCTGAATGGGCTGATCTCACTGATGTGTCAGCCACATATGCACTGACTGTGTTTTATTCAATTAAAGCAAAAATTTGAAGCTTTTAGGTGGAAGCAATTCGAACCCACCACCTCCTACCTACACAAAGACAAACAGGCATACCACTAAGCTTAGGAGCTATTTTGGTATTTAAACCTTAAAACATTATATATAATGTATATTAACGAAAAAATTTATATACAAGAATAATAATTATTATTTTATTTTTTTACAAGTGTACATATAATTTTAATTATATTTATATATTTAAAAATATGTTTTTAGCGTTCGCTTTAAAAAATATAAGTTTTTAAGTCTATATATTTTTACATTGAAATCGTATTTATAAACTTAAAAACGTACATTTTTTTTAAAGCGTATTCAATTATTTTAATGCTTAGAAACATATTTTTAAATATATAAATATACGTTTTCTGATTTTGAAAGTATATACTATATAGGTACCTATGATCTTTTAAAGTTCAAAAACATAAAATAACATATTCGGTAATAATATGGATTTTTTTTTTCTGTTTTCAATATAAATATGGTTTTTTGTATTATTAATACAAATACATCGAAATCGTATTTATAGACTTAAAAACGTACATTTTTTTAAAGCGTAGTTCGTTTATTCTCACGCTAAAAACATATTTTTAAATATATATAAATATACGTTTTACGATTTTGAAAGTATATAGTATATAGGTACATATCTTTTAAACTTCCAAAAACATAAAATTACATATTCGGTAATAATATGGATTTTTTTCTTGTGTTTTCAATATAAATATGGTTTTTTTTTTTTGTATTATTAATACAAATATGTATTTTTTGTAATTTTAAAGAAGAAATACAATTTGAAAGGTATTTGTATATTAAAAAAATATGTTCTAAGTCTACAAATACATACTTCATCATAAAACTACGTTTTTATAGACGTACATACGTTTTTAAGTGTATAAATACCTTTAAAAATGTATTTTAACCTTTAAAAACATATTTTTTTATTTATAAAAATATTTATACCTTTAAAAACGTAATTTAAAATGTATACATACGCTTATAAAAAATAAAATAATAATAATAACAATAATTACTATTATTATTATTATTGAATTTTAAATTGTTTCAGTAGTATACGATATATACTATATTTTTTAGATATAAAACAAAAAAAGCTATGTAGTTTAGTGGTATGTTCCTTGCTTTATGAGTTGGAGCTAGTCCTTCCAACTAATCGTCCAGCTGGCTTGCCAGCTACACAGGTTACCGGCTTAACCTGTAAAAAGGGCAAAAATGATTTTTTTTTTACAAATTTGCGGTATAAATGAACAAAATTTCTGTCAAAGGGTAAAACCGCAAATTCTTGAAAAACTTAAGGGTTTTTATGACATTATCCCTTACATAAAATATCAAATGTACCACATTACATAAACTATCTTATAATTCACAAATAAACATCTAATATATCATCCATAAATTATGTGATAAATCCAAAATAACATCATTCATAACATAAAACAAGAAATACTATGTGTCTTCGTCTTCCCCATCTTTGTTGACTTGGTTTTTAAACGGGCGGCTATTGTTTCCAATGGCCATCATAAACTTCGGGTTTTGAAGAAAAGCATTCACATCAACATCCTACAATTAAGTCACAAGCACATTAAGTCATTAACAATTTAACAAACCATCATACCATCATACCACCAAATGAATTAATTCGATAACAATTTAACAAACTATTAAACTACTCAATCATTTAAGTCTTTAATAATTTAACAAACAACCAAACTAGCAAAAATTACTATAAATGCATCAAGTTCTTAACAATATAGCAAAGCTGCCAAATTCTTTAAGAATTTAACAAGTACCTGTGTTGGTTGCGGTGCTTGTGACTGTCTCTATTATTGAGATTGATCACTTGTACCCGCTGCTGAAGAAAGTTTAGACCCAATGCCTCTCACATGCCCCCTTTGAGCACCCAACACATTCTCAAATATTGTGATCCAATCAATGGTGTCTGGATCACCACCAGAGTCGGCTATGTGATGAGTCTGTAGAGCAACCTTGGCAACTAAGGCATTCTGTATTTCACAAAAATTGTCAATATGCGTTAAAACTAACAAAAAAAAAACAACAATCTACTTCATTTTTAAGTAAAATAACTTACATATTGGTCTTCAACTAAAAGATCGATAAATTTCTCTTTTTTATTCACATGCCCACGATGAAATGCTTCAAGTCTATTCAAATTCTATTTAACATTACAAAATATGTTATACTTGAATAAACATTAAAAAATATGTTATACCTAAATAAGCATTATTGTAACTTACGTTCTTAAAACAAACACCACCGTAGATGCACGTCCCTCCACGATTCTTAACTACTTGCTTCTTCCCGCATTCTTTGTTTCCAACAGATCGTTTTTTATGCTTTTCTGTTAAGAAGTGGTCAATAGCAGCATTCAAACGCTACAAATCCATACTCGTAAGGGCTTGAGCCCTTGCTGCCTACACATCCCCTTCAAAACCAATCAAACGAGTTGTTGCAATATTTTAGTGGCCTTTATACCGCGTACATATCCGATTGTTCAATGACGTCCAACTGGAGCCACAGGATCATTTGTAATCGCTCCAAAATCAAACTATGTCTACAAAAAAACAGAGAAATTAAAAATAAATCAAAAGTAAACATATTAAATATATAACTTCATAAATAATTTATCGAAGATACTCAAACATGCCAACTCGGCTTTAGAAACATCAGTCCATGTGTCCTTATTGAAACCGATGTTGCACCACATATAGCTCCCAACCTCTAGAATGAAACATCAATATACTTCCCTAATCGACATGTGAGTATTTATGTCAAATATTATCTTTAGATGCCGGTTGTCGTTAGCTGCGAATAACTTGTACATTTTTTTGTTTGCTGGCATGCCTTTTTGTTTTGGAGGCAATGTTGCATAAAAAAATATCAGTCAAAATAATTTTTATAGACATACAATATGAAATACAATGAATTAGAATAAACCTTATTTAGCATCGATCTGGTGATCACCAAAACGTCCACCGAACGGATCGAGTGGCTCGTCACCACCGTCACCTCCATGGCCCATCACAACAACCACGATATGGATCAATACAATCCAAAAAAATGATATCCTGCAAAATTATAACAATATATATATATATATATATATATATATATATATATATATATATATATATATATATATATATATATATATATATATATATATACACACACACACACACACACATAATACGATATGATTACAACAAATACAAACCTTATTTTACTAGTAAAATGTAAAGATTTTTTTTAATCATTCTCTCCCTCAGACACTTCAGTGTCTTTTAACATATCACTATCATAACCGAAAATCCTCTTCATCATAATCAGTCTCACAATCAGACACATTATTGATGAAACCCGTTGGTGGACCAACTTCAATATCATCTTTAACTGATTAAGAATTTTGAAAATATTGGCTAAAGTCGATTGAAAGAGTGAAATTAGAAGAAGCATTACTATGAACGACATCGGTTGAATCATTGTTGACATTTTCAATGGGATCATGGTCAACATCGTTCATCAGTAGATACTAAATTCTTCTATGATTAAATTTTCTACAACCCACCAATATTAGTTGTCATTTTCGTTACTTCGATAAGGTTCTTGAATGTAAAATACTTGCTTGGTCTGGGTAGCAAATATGAGTCGATCTTCGTTGCTCAATTCGTGTTGTGGGTCGACACTGGTGAAATTATTATCAGATTTAACACTTGCAGTGTCAAACCACTTACAGTGAAAAAGTACAGTGGAATATTTATGAGGATAATGCAACTTGATAATCTCTTCTAGATGACCATAATATTTTTGCTTATCCTCTCCTTTAGTTAGAACCCCCGAGTTTTGTTTTGATCGTTGGGTGTCATGCATAAATAGCATAAACTTAACACCATTCACTATGTAAGCGATATAAGAGAACTTCGCATCTTTTAAGTTTGTCACTATATTCTCTCATATTAAGAAAATATTTATGAAGCTGCAAGAAAAAAGAAATTTTACAACATAAATACAAAAAAAGAAAAATAAATTAATGGAAGTACCTTAATCAATTGTTCCTTGCGATTTGAAGTAAGTTTTTTTTAGCAGTTGCAAGTGCATCCTTTAATGAAAAACTTATGAAGGGTAGAATTGTAATTTGGTGTAAAAGAAGAGATCGATCATATAGTTTACCAAGTAGAAACACAATCTTGACCAGATTTTTCGTTGAGGATTTTTGTCAAATAGTTGGTGTTCAAAACTTAAAAAGAACAAAGAAAATAAGAGTTACAAACACTAAAACTGTGAAATTGAAATACAAATGGTGGAATCAACCTGCTCCTACACTATTCCCTGTTTTCCCTCGCCTTCCGTCTCCCCCCAAACCAAATTACCTGATGACAATTGTGTTCGTTCACAAACACAATTCAAAACATTCCATAATTCAATATCCAGAAACATAGGGGCAGAAAAGTAAATTTAGTTAGGACTTTTAATAGCTACAATGGATACCTCATTCATTTAAAATGGATAATCAAACAATTATAATCAAGTAATTAATTAGGTAAACTAACCTGGAATTAATACCTTAATCGGATCAGGCATTTCATCGAACGCCTTATAGGCATGTTTCTCATCCAAAAGTAGTAACCTTGTTGAGTCTTTCCACTTCCCAAACCTGTACTCAACGTCTCCAACTAACCCATTCAAATCCTCCTGCCTTTGCAGTTGTAAAATTGATCTACAAACAAAATCAACCCAAAAAAGAAAACAAATAATTGAACCTCTAATTTGTAAAATAAAAAAGTTACCTGTGTCCTCGTTGCGTTGTTGCGACGGAGTAGAAAGTGCAGAGGAAATGAGGCTGATTCGACACGGATTGAGATATCGGATAAGGGAGGCCGTGGGGAGAATTTGATAAGGGGGAGTCGGCAGCGTTCGATTGTATGGGTCATGGTGAATAGAAATTGGAGAAAATATTGTTTGCCTCTCTTAATCGATTTCTGATGATGAATAGCACAACCAACCGAAATCAGAAATCAACTTGCTACCCACCATCTTTGATATTTCGATGGAGTTGAAAGAGTGAGAAATGAGGCGACAAGGAAGGATTCGTCGGTGTGAATGAAAAGCAAGCAGACGGGTAAAGTGGATGAGAGAACGGGTGGCGGTGGGTTTTTGGGAAAATAGGAATCGGTGGAGAGGATAACGCACACGTGTGATAGTAGAATGAAAACTAAATCTAACAGCAAACAGGGAAACAACACGTAGCAAGGGAAACAACACGTAAAAGAAAATTAAATAAAAAAAACGGTAGAAGAAAATTAAAAAAAAAAAAAAAAAAAAAAACGGTCCAATCACCTGTTTTAACCTATAAAATCGAAAAACCCTCCTTCCTTTTACTTTCTTCATCAGAATGTACAACCTCCGCTTCAGAATGTACAACAACCCCAAGCCAGAGGTATTTGAATTAACATAAACATCAAGACTCACTCCCATCATCATCATCATCATCATCTTCTTCTTCTTCTTCTTCTTCTTTAGATTCTTTTTCATCACACTGACACGTCACCAAGATTCTCAATCATATTCATAACCTCCACTGTGTCATCCAAATAATACTCCGCCCTACTTGGTTTCTGTCCCACAGTACACGCAAACACTGATCGATTATTGACATTCAAAATGACACCTCCTTTTATGGCGTCCCCAATCATCACAAACATATCTTCATCGCTTCTATCATCCCCCACACACAACACAAAATCAGCCCTTCTTTCTTTCTTAAACATCGATGAAAATATCTTCTCTGCCACTAAACCCTTCGTCACACCCTACATTAATAACAACCAACTTTAGTCACTCAAATAATTCAACTCAAAGTATGGATTAATTTCATAAAAAACCTTTTATTTTTTGTTTTTTCGGAAAAAAATGAAAGGTTCGAGGGTTTTTTTGGAAAAAGGGTTTGAGGATTTTTTCAGAAAAAATTCTCATCTAAAAATAAACCCTTATATTTTGTGTTTTTTTTTCCAGATTAAACCTCAAATTTATTTTTTGGCTGAAAAAAACCTTGTATTTTTATTTTTTTTGAAAAACCGCTCAACCTTCTAAAAGGCTTCCAAATAAACCCTAAACTTTTTTAGTTTTTCTATAAAAAAAACCCTCATTTTTTAGGAAAAAAATGACTAGAGGGACCAGATCGGAGAAAACGAAAAAATACAAGGTCTTTTTCGGGCAGAAAAATAAATTTGAGATTTAATCCGAAAAAAACACAAAGGTCTTTTTTAAGATTAACCCTCGGAAAGAATATAACATGAGGGTTTTTTGGGAAAAATCTAAAAAGTTTTGAGGGTTTTTTCAGACAAAATTAATAGGTTCATGGTTTTTTTTCTCGGTAAAAATAAAAAGTTAGATGGATTTTTCGGAAAAAATGAAAAAAAAAATGTAATTTTTTTCAAGAAAAAATTAAATTAAATTAAAGTTTAATCCGGAAAAAACTAAGGTTTTTTTATGGTATTAACCCTTATGAAACAAAGTCAACAAAACAATACCTGTGGTTTGACTTCAACAATATATTGACCGCTTTTGACCACAACCGGTTCATTAGCAAGAACACTTTCCAAATGATCTAACATTTCCTTCGCTTGGGCCGACCCGAAACCCGGATTCGCATCTTGATGGTGCCACACCAACGTGCTTTCTTTCCTTTCAATATACGACACGTCCGTCGCATCCGTATACAATCTCATCACCGGTTCCGCCATCTGCATCCACCCAAAATTCATCCCTTACGCACACGTCTCCGAATCTTTCTCCCCCGGCCACCTGTCACCAATCACCAACCCTTCAGCATTTACCTAAAAGGGTAAAACCGTAAAATAACAAAACAACAAAATCTTACCTTATAAAGCAATCCTTCTCAGAATCCCGCAAATGAGGACACCCCCAAATTCAAATTCAAATATGTAGTAAGAAGTAAAGATTAAAAAACAAAAAACATCACGACCATTTCATAAATAATAACAATGTAGGATTGTTACAAAATAAAGACCAACCTAGAATCATTTTTTTTTTCAACATTTGTTCACTCTCTGATATCCTAATGGTAGCAGAATTCCAACGTTGATGAGTGCTAAGTTCTGAAACTTCAGTGTTTCATATTCCATTCAGAAAATCAAAAATTGCGTCAAAGTTACATAACCAATTTTCAAATCGATTAAAACATACATAACCAATTTTATCATTATTATTATTACCAATGATTTTGAACAAACCATAAGTTAAATTATAGTGGCATATTGACGAACAACAAATTTTATGTCAAATCCTTGAATTCAGGAGAAAGAGGAAGGCCTGTTACGTAGCAAGAGAAATGGACAGATTGAAAACATTACCTGAAGAAGTCGTCGGAGGTGCAATAGTCGACCGCGACCGGAGGCAGACACGCTAGCGACGACAATGGTAGGGAAGAAGGAAGCTTCAAAATATCGGGATGGGGGATTTGTGTGTTTTAATAGTCTTTGTTACATTTCCTATTTAAATATAAGTTACGTTTTATAAAATTGGTTGACAATATTAAAACGTTTATAACCAGAAATTCAAGATTTAAAATATGGAAAACTTTTACAGGAATTAAATACATTCCATTTGAGGATGATATCAACAACTTGATCTAAGAGTGGAAAACATAGAATTAAAACACAATCAATGGTCCTGATTGTTTATAATGATGTCATAAGATTTGTCTTTTAATAATATTTAGAGATTCACATTAGTTATTATGAAGTGACATTTAATAAGTGGAAGTTGAATAAAAATGAAAAAAATACAAAAATGACAAGTGGAAAAAAAATAATTTTAAAATTCTAAGAAAATGACATGTGTCGAATTCAATAAGAAGTTGACATTTGACAAAATTATCTTTATTTATTATGGTAGATTGTTACTTGAAAGAGTATCCTCATAATCTGGATTTTATATATCCCATGCATATATATTCAAAATATATCATATTCGGGAAGTGATCACATGATCTTTCGTGCAATTTGATTACCTATCGATTTTAGAAACCATTTTCTCCTCCTAACCCCAATATTATATAGTTTTAAGGTTATAAAATAATTATACTCCATCGTAAAAAGATATCACCATGTAATCACTGCTTAAAATCATCCTAAATTTTTTACCTCATTAATAAGAAGAGATTGTCCTAAGACTTTCTAGAAGTGAGGAACTTGAGCCATTGGTGAAGAAAAAAAACACAAGATATTGCTTTCACCAATTTTTGTTTTTGATTCATTTATTTTTTAAGTTCCAATGACTAAAAATCTTTACTATTTTAGTTTGATGAAAATGGCAACAGTTGCCTTCGGTCTCCATTTGTGGACTCAGGCTAAAAGGAGACTCGACATTAGCGTGACAAAGGTGACCTAGACTCTACGAATGTCATGCCGCGAACCCGACATGTTGAGTTCATAACCCTTACTCGAAAACAGCTTGAAGATGGTAGAGAAGATTTTAATTTTCGAAATTCAAAAAATAACCCGTTTTTCATAAATAGATAATAATAATAATAATAATAATAATAATAAATCAGAATTATAACATTTTTCAACCATTATAAATACTAACAACTATCTAATTTTTTAACAAACATTGTCTTTCAGTTTTTCACACAAACACTCTTCTTATTTTGTGAAAAATGACTTCTTCCAATTCTCTATCCAGCCCAAAAACACTAAGAATAAACAATAAAAACACCCAAAATAAAACAACACAAACCCTTCATCACCTATCTTCTTCCAAAATCAAATAGATTGTCATATTTATTCTCCTATTCATTTCCATTATCACGGTGTTTGGTACATACTACACTCCATATCTTATTCAATCTCAATCCCAACCCCAATCTCAATCTCAATCGCAATCCCAATTTAAAAATGATTTCAACCCACTTGAAAATATTCATGAAAGCCAATTATGATTCCAATCCCAAATCCAAAGCCAATCACAACCCCAATTCTAATCCTAACCCCATAGAGTGCCCGAAATAGATTTTGAGCCCGAAGATGTTCAACCTCAACCGGTCCCCAAGAAAGAAAAAAAAAAGGAAAGGTGCATTCTAAGAATTGGACACCAAAGGAAGAAAAGGTGTTTGAACATGCATGGGTTGATGTTTTGGAAGACCAACAGTCAGAACAAACAACATACACCAACTTTTTAGCAAAAAATTACAAGGCGTTTTCTATCATAAATGAAGCTTGGAGACTAACGGAAAAAAAAATCAAATTTACTCAAAGTGGAGGAACACCATAAAGTTATCAAGGAGTTAAACTCCATATTCACGAGCGTGAAACTCCGTTGGCAAAATGGTGAAAATGATGAAACAATATTGTAGAAAGCTCTAGCACTTTAATGGAATGATAAGGGGGCAACTTTCACATTTCTTGATTTTTGGAATATTGGAAAATAGTGCAAAAAATGGTATGATATTCAAACTATTGAATCATTCACAGGTGATTCTAAAAGAACCAAAACATCTGAAACCACTTATTATCGGATACGCATGTCAAACCTAAACCACGATAATTTATTTAGGGGATAGTCGTCCCATGGAAAGACACCAAAAAAGAAAAGGTAAAAAGAAAAGCAAATAACATTAATGAATTGACATCCGAGATTGACAACTTGAAAACTACTTTGGAGCAATACCTAAGCATTACAAAAAAGAAGTAAACATGACAATGTTAATGATATATATTAATTATGATACCGGACACAACAAAGAATTGACATTAAGTGCCAAAGATAAGGATACAAAAAATTATAATATGTAGTTTTTTTTTTTATGCATCATATTTCGTATTTTTAATATGTATGTTTTTATTTTCTTCTAATTAAGTGCTAGTGTATTTTTTTTTTAAGTTAATGAAAATTTTAACTTTTATAAAAACTACCTTGTTTAGCTTAATTTTTTTTTAATATAAATTATCTTTAAATTTAAAAGATAAAAATTTGTTGTTGCATATCTCCTCTAAGGGAGGAGGGAGTCGTTCCCATTAAACCCACCGAACTCACTAAACCCACTGTCCCATCAGCTTTTCTATTTGATTTTTCTTTATCTTTCCGAACTCATAATACATAAAAACCTTATCTTTCTCAACTCACTCAATAAAAAAAATATACAAACTAATCAAGGTAAAATCTTAATTAGCAATAAAGTTAGCGCCGGTATCACTCCTTCTGCGGTGGATTGTTTAATTGGTTTCACAAACCCACTTCATCATCTCTATCTACTTTCTCTCTCTCATTTTCTCTAGTACCATATGTTTTAAGACTTGTACCTTAGTTGTTTAGTATGTTTTTTTTAATTAAATCGGTCGAGAAAGATAAGATTTCTGTGTGTTGTGGGTTGGGAAAGATGAAAAAAAATCAAAGAGAAAAACTGATATGACAATGGGTTCAGTGGGAACGACTCCCTACTCCCTAAATGCTAGTTCTTAAGACCGCTCTTTCCAATCCAACCTGAGTATCTATTAAAAAATTATTTTCTCTATCTTTCACATACACACACTGTATAACTAACAATAAACTTTTATCCACATTAACAAACCAATCCAATCCACTACTTTATTTTTTAAAAATTATCAAAAAATATATTAACATAATTAACTCTCGTAAGGTAGGTTGTGGATTGTGGATAGGTTGTCGAGACAATCCGCTCACACTATTTATTTTTTATTTTTTTGGGATGAGCTGCTTAGCAACGGGGGATGGTTGCAAACATTATCTTGGCTAGTTCTTGAAGAGGTGGAAAACATAACGTGACGTCTTCTCAACGACACTTAACAAAAAATGTGGCAAAAATTACACTGCACCTTTGTCTCCCTCTAGCCTCATAGCTTCATCTGGATGTTTACCATTTGTCGTTCGAAAAAACCACACAATTCTTCTTGAAAGTGAAAGATCGACCTCAAGACACTTATTTTATACAAATAATTCCTGTTTCCTCTCTTAACGTTCCAAAAATAAAATCGATCTCCACAGATACAACTTAACCAAACTTGTGAGAGCCTCAACCTCAAACCAAAAATTCCAAACGGAAAGCAAAATGGAAGTTGGGAAAAAGCACTATTGAAAACCTGAAAGAAACAAAGGTAAAAGAAGAATCTATCAACATTTACATACATCAATGGACCACTTCCAGTTCACAGTTCATTTCATCTGTTCATTCAGAAGACACAAACAACGAAAGAAAGAAGGAAAAAACAATCTTTTTTTCAACATCGGCACCTCTCTATTTACCTTTTCTTTTTTAATCTTCCCATCCATCTCTTCCCAATAAACAAACTCACCTGTTTTAACCTATAAAATCAAAAATAACCCTCCTTCCTTTTACTTTCTTCATCAGAATGTACAACCTCCGCTTCAGAATGTACAACAACCCCAAGCAGAGGTATTCGAATTAACATAAACATCAAGACTCACTCCCATCATCTTCTTCAGATTCTTCTTCTTCATCTTCAGACACTGACACGTCACCAAGATTCTCAATCATATTCATAACCTCCACTGTGTCATCCAAATAATACTCCGCCCTACTTGGTTTCTGTCCCACAGTACACGCAAACACTGATCGATTATTGACATTCAAAATGACACCTCCTTTTATGGCGTCCCCAATCATCACAAACATATCTTCATCGCTTCTATCATCCCCCACACACAACACAAAATCAGCCCTTCTTTCTTTCTTAAACATCGA